GGAGGTCATCATCAATCAGAGAAATACCACGTTGGACAACAACGCCATTCAAAACAACGGCGTGTTGGAGATCTTCGACAATCAGAGAATCATCAGACCACTCATCAAGAGCATCATCAACAATCAGAGAAATACCAGGTCACTCATCAACGATAATCAGATTCACAACCATTAAAGCAGGTGGATAGCATCAACGTTCTGGAAGCTCAACGAATTCCTCAGGGAACATCACAACTGGTAGTCTTGGCAACAGCTAGGGTCAACGCCCTCAATCATCAAGGATTCTCAAAGCCAGCAAGGATCCTCATCGACCAGGGTTCCGAAGTATCACTGATTTCAGAACGCTTGGTCAATCAATTGCGATTGGAACGAAAGTCATCATCACTGGTCATCATCGGCATCGGAGAAACATCATCGGGGAACACACGTGGGGTTGTGAAACTCGCCTTACAACCGAGACATGACCCTGCTGTGCAGATCATCGTGGAGACTCACATCCTGAGCAAGTTGACAGCGGAAATACCGCCGTTCACTTGCAACACATCAACCTCACTTCAACTAAGAGGACTACAATTGGCAGATCCTCAATTCTTGAGACCTGCAGCCATCGACCTCATCATTGGAGCTGACGCCTATGGGAAAATCATAGGAGAGAAAATCATCAGGTTTGAGAAAACCGAACTTATTGCTCAGCAGACCATTTTTGGCTGGGTAGTATCGGGACCAGTTTGTTGTAACGACTGCGTCGCCAAATCATCCTTCAAAACATCAACGCAGACGGCGAATCAACAATTATTAGAACTCCTAAAAAAGTTCTGGCTCCAGGAGGAGCTACCGGATACATCATCAACAGTTGTCATGAGCAAAGCTGAAGCCGAATGCGAACAACACTTTATCGAGACTCATCAGAGGGATTCGTCGGGACGTTATGTCGTGCGTCTCCCCTTTAAATCATCACCAGCCGCTTTGGGAGGTACAGCATCAACGGCCAAGAAACGGCTATCTAAGTTATTGGGAAAATTATCGTCAGATCCAGTAACTCATACCCTCTATAAGAAATTCAACGAAGAGTACGAGGCCCTGGACAACATGCAGCGAGCACCTTCAACTTCAGAGGCAAAGCAGGCATATTACCTGCCTCATCATGGAGTGCTTAAACCAGACAGCNTTCAACGAAGAGTACGAGGCCCTGGACAACATGCAGCGAGCACCTTCAACTTCAGAGGCAAAGCAGGCATATTACCTGCCTCATCATGGAGTGCTTAAACCAGACAGCACGACCACAAAATTGAGAGTGGTGTTCGACGCATAGCATCGCAGCTCATCAGGAGTGTCACTTAACGACATACTCCATCCAGGACCGAAGCTACAAGTAGACAGCTCCGACGTTCTTATCTGGTTACGTCGTCATCGTTTAGTATTTGGTGCGGACATTGTGAAAATGTTCCGCCAGATTCGTGTTCATCGAGACGATTGGGATTATCAACGGATCTTCTGGAAAGACGACGAAGGAAAACTCATCGACTTTCAANGACTTTCTTATCTGGTTACGTCGTCATCGTTTAGTATTTGGTGCGGATATCGTGAAAATATTCCGCCAAATTCGTGTTCATCGAGACAATTGGGATTATCAACGGATCTTCTGGAAAGACGACGAAGGAAAACTCATCGACTTTCAACTGACGAAAGTCACATACCATGTTGGTCCCATGTTGGGACTATGCTGCCAGCCTCACACGGACACCTTCCATTATAAAGCAAAGACTTTCACCAAGGACACCATCATCAAGCGCGTAACCTTGTCCGAGATTGCGCAAATCTACGATCCATTGAGACTCAGCGCGCCGGTGATCGTCACGGCAAAGATACTCATCCAGGAATTATGGCTGCTCAAACTTAACTGGGACGATCCACTTCCAGATGACTACAAGGATCGCTGGAAATCATTCAGAGAGCA